GTATTGAAATATACTTTCTTTCAGATGTTATGCTTTGACTCTGAAAATGAAAAACTAAAATAAAAAATCCCAGAATTCTTGTAAGAAGAAGATCTGAGAGTATAGTAAAGAGATTTAGGAAAACAGTATTCTTTTCTTACAAACTTAATATAGAGTTTATATTAAACTCAGAGTTAGAGTTTCAGACATTTCATCAAATGTTAGAAAATAAAAGACACCAAAACACGGACTCAATGAATGAGAATATGAGACAAAAAAGTTTTTGAAATTCTTTACAATTACTGGCGAGTATTGGAGACAATATACTGTAATTCAGTTCAGTGCTGGTGCTCTCAAAATCATTAATGATTGACAGAATTAATATAAACGACATTTTCAAGTGTCAGTACAAAGAGACCTGAAACACAACATTCACTTTGATATAACGCTTACTATAACAGATTAAAGTGATGTAAAAACATCTGAAACAACGATTACACCGTAAATGTGTTTTATTAGACAAATATATCAAGATAAGATATTTATTTTAAAAATAATTTCGACACAAATTGGCCAATTTTTAAATCAATGATTAATTGAATGATAGGCACGAAGTGTTTTATTAAATGAATCGATTATTCAATTGTAGGTTTGCGTCAAAATAGTAAATAATTGATAGAAATATAGGTAAAAGTGATGAATGAGTACAAGAAGTAGAAGTAGTGGTCAGACCTAAGACAATGGCCAGCGTTTTGGTGGCTTTGCGTTCGCGTTTGGCGGACGCCTTTTCCCTCTTCTTTCGGGTACTCTTGTGTTTTCGGCCCAAATTGAAGCGCGACTTCTTCTTTGCCGGTCGGTGTGTGTTATGTGTGGCACCGGTCGAGCCGGTCGTGGACCCGGAGTGCCCCGAATGGGACACAGAGTCGCTGTGTTTGTTGTGGTGGTGATGATTGTGACCGGCGTTTGGCGATGAGGATGATGTGGACACCTGAGCGGTGGCTATACTTCCGTTTTTATTAATAGTCTGTACATTATGTACGACCAGAACTACGGCGTCTGACTTATTGGTAGTGACAGCCGTTGTCTTATCGGTCGGGGAGTCTATGTTTGGGTTTTCAAGACAAAATGGATTCAGTTCTTCAATATTGTTGGGAGCATAAGAGGGGGCGTAACCGGAATCGGTATTACCATTTGGTCCAATCGTCACCTCAACCTCCAGAGGGCTTTGCAATTGGACTACAGTTTTGTTATGTTTAGTCTGTTTGCCGATTATCTCGGTGTCCGACGCCTGGGCTCTCTTGTTGCGAATCACGTGACACTCAATCATTTCCAACTGAATCTCATCCTTGTCTTCGTCCTCATCCTCCTCGTCATGACTGCCACCGCTTCCGGTGTTCGTCACGGCGTCCGTCTCTGTGATGAGAGGAAGTTTGGCTTTGATTTTGTTATTTATGGACAGTTTGTTGGCGTCGGCGGCCGCCTGTATCTCTTCGCGGAAGCGTTTTGTTTGTGCGATATTTTCGATCACTTGCGCCGATTTGGCCGTATCTGACGTGGAGGACGAGTAGGTCTTACGGCTGCCGATGGCCTTCTTGGCCCTGTTGTGGATGGCTTTAAATATCTTATAGTAGAGAATGACCATGATCACACACGGCACGTAGAACGACCACAACGATGAGTAGATTATGAAGTTGGAGTTGTAGAATATGCACAGCTCGGGGATCCTGTCCGCTGACGTATTGGCACCTGTATGTCGTAATAGTTAGGATGTTAGCTAAGTGTCTCTATAGGAATGCAAGTGATGGCTACTGGCCTAAGACAATGGGAAGTCCCACTCCGGCTGAACAGATCCAGACAATGAAAATTGTAAAAATAACTCTTTTGTCGTTTTTGTGCTTTGAGTAGAATATTGGATGCGTTACTGCAATATATCTGTAATGAAAAGTATAGGCATTTGTTTCAGTTATACGTTTGTAGAGTAATAGGAATGGTATGCTATCTCTCAGTGCTGTCTTATAAACAACAAATTTTTCATTTCATCTCATTTTTTATAAGAAATATGAAAGAAAGACACAGAAAGGCATTTGAATTAGTATTTCCACGACAAGTGTTTGCTCTCAAAAACATAACATTTCTCTCTATAATATAACTATAAATAATAAAAATGAAACTTTTATTGTGAGTTATGAGAGGTTTCTATTGTAAACAGAATACACATCCATTTGTTTGAGTCAAATATATATATAATATATAGGAAATAAAATATTAAAGTATTGCACAATTTTAACAGCAAATTCAATATCAGATTTATGATGGATTAGATGTTGTGCCCAAAAATGTTCAGTTATTGACACAAAACTCGAAATTATATCAAAAAATATTCAACTTATGAATGCTTAACACGAATTGAATTTATGTGTGAAATGATTCTCAAACGCGATTCATATATAAAAGTCAAATACTATAGCGACTAGAATACAGTACAATACTGGCAAATATTTTTATTTCAAAATGTAATCACTTTTTCATTTAGACAACTGAATATAAAAATCCTAAAAAATGATCCCTATCATGATTTATATATTTTTATGTTATTTCTATTTCGGGAAAACAATTGTTTATCATTTATATCTCAATAGTATTCTACTTTATAATAACTAGTATTATATTTCAAACAGATTTTAATTCAAACCTTATATCATATTCAATGCAATATTATTGTGAAATATTGAATATTGAATATATCTTTAATACTTAAATTGAATTTTCAAAAAATGCATTTGAATATAAAAACAAATACAAATATGATAAAAAGAATTATATTATTATTGGCGGCTTTTACATAATATTATAGAAAACAATTTGAGCACAAAATGTATACCTTTTCGGTCACTATATTTACATTTATTACATAAGAGCTATTATATTGAAATCGGATGAGTACTGAAAGGAAATATATTTCCATAACTTTTACGACAAGTAATCATATTTTGATATTTTCTTATTCCGATGATTATTGGCTCCAAAAATAATTCAATTCTCTCACATGAAACAGAATACAGAATATGGGCACAGAATATAAGCTCATAAAACATAATATTCTTTATATCAATACAAATGTATTCCATATATAATATATTTGTGAAAAATGATATCACATAACACCTCATCTCTCGGTGTATTTGCTTTGAACGCGTTTTCAAAATCCTCGTCAATATTGAGAGTTGAATATAATATTGCAAATACTATTCTCTCTAACATTAAGTCAGTTTGCAATTTAGATTCAGAGGCGGTCTTCAGATATCATTATATAAATGATTGGCAACGGATCCACTCAACTAACATACCACAGAAATTCATACTTTTTATGCACTTTTGGTTTCCACTTTTCCAAATGCAATGGCCATCGGCCATATAAATGCACTATTCATTAGTAAGTGAAACTAAGTTAAAAACAAAAAGGGCTATTTTTAAAAATCTTCTTTAATATTCTGAACAGAAAGTTATTTGTCAAAAATAATCCAAACTTAATCCATCAAAGAGTCCTATATATCACTCGTTATTTTCTATTTTAAATAGAAAAATAATAATTTCAAATAAGAATCTATTTTTAAAGGCTTTTGTTCAGTGAAATGAAATTATTTAGAAATTCTTCAACATTTAAAATTGAAACTTCAAAGTTTTTTCTAAACTACACTTCATTTTGGTAATCGTTATTTTGAATTAGATATAATGATACTCTGAGAATCACTTAATTTAATATTTTTGTCTCTACTTCTGAAACTTTTTAATAGATATATTTTTACTTTTTTAATTTTAAACAATAAGATTAAATTACGAACACTTTGTTTTCATTTGAGACAAAAACTAATTATACTTTATTTTAATAGGCAATTTGGTACTAGATATTTTAAATGTCAAATACTTGCAAGATATGAATTTTTAGAATAGAAATTATATAAAACACATTTCAAAATATACTGGGTCACTTTTGAGATTTTATACTAAATTCTTGTTTTTATCCAAAATTATTAATGACGTTAATAATGAGATCTTTTTCTTATTCAGTTAAGTAATAATCTAAAAATATAATATTAATTGATTTTTATTATATTTCAGACATCAAGTATGAGATCTCCTTTCAGACAAATGTGTCGACTGAATGGCAAAATTCATGAGTAAACCAATGCTGTGAATGACATCGGTTTTATGTTTTGCAAGAATATATTCAATACTTTTATGTGATATACTATAGAATATATACTACTATTAAGTCGATATTACAAATAAATATAACACTATATCTGTTCTCGTTAGCAGTTTTTGCAAACCAATGCTACAGAATATCACACATTCTCTAACATGAGAAATAAGTTGAAAAATAATTGCATTCTTTGCAACAAAATTCAAATTTAATGATTTAGTCTATATATGCCTTATTCCATTCAATAATATAAAATATCTGATATTTGATTAAATCCTATGAATTATTAATATAAGCCTAATAATAAATATTCCAAGAAATAGACGTGAAAATGAAATAATTATAAGAGTGCATACATTCCGCATACAAAAGTAATAAAGTATTGATAAATACCTGTCAAAACTGATTGCAACCAAATTGAAAATAGATGCCGTGCTACAAATCACATCAATTGCAATGTATAGATCACAGATCGCTTCACTCAACTCCCAGTCCACGTTCACCTGCAAATACAATCACAATATTTATTTTCATTTATTTATTCAAATGTTGCCAGAATAAAGTCTTGAGAAATGTGGAACCCATTTGTCTTTTTATGATATATTAATTCCTTACTAATATAATAATTGTTCATTATAGTCTATAAGATTAGGTTATGTGTTTTTTGCAAATGTTAATTAAATTTTCTTAAACAATAGTATATGTTGAGCCTTAATAGGAAGAGATTAACTGAGAGGAGAGACAATAATTTTCAATTGCCTTATGAGAGAGAGACAGAGATTTACAGATTTACATATAAGTTAATTAGAATTGTTATAATCAGACTTAATTTATTCCTTAATGTCTCGCAGTCTTTACCCATAAATTATCGTAAATTTGCATAAAAAATCACTTCAATAACAACTCAGATTTAAATGTTTCTCAAATTGTGTTTCAGGAATAACTTTCTCTGAGAAAAACGGCTCAAAAAAGACAATCAAAATACAAATGGACATTAAATTCATGTTCACAACTATTATTATAGTTGAATTCGTATATGAATTAAATGATAATAATATACATTTAATTTGTTCACTTTGGATACAAAATCAATGCTTACATAAATGTTTAATACAATGATAATTGATTCGCTTTTCATTATTGTGTTATAAAATGAGTTTTTCATAAAAAGAGGATTTTGTGATTCATTTTTCAAAAAATAATTGTTAAGTTCAGAGAAAGTGAATTCTCGGAGGAATTAATTGATTGACTTATAGTATTGTAGTTATGTTTTTGTAAAATGTATTCATTATTTTTCGTTTATTATCAATCAATAATTCTATACATAATAATAAACATTGATTTTGAGAACCTTACGCTCTTATAATAATAATAATAAAATTTCGCAATTTTAACTTTTTGAGCAATTAATCATTTTGTGCTTAAATTCAATAAAGAGACTCATAATTCAAAAAACGGTTGCATTACTTGAAGCGTAAAAAGTGAATCCACAATAAAAGTAATAAAAAGAGTATTATTTTGCGAGACATAAAAATATATGAGAGAATTATTAAAAGGAGTTTGTTTGAAAATAGGCTTCATTTTGTGCTTTGAATGCATTACTTATTTGGCGTAAAAAAGTTTTTTAAAACTAAAGGAGAACTTAAAAAACAAGTATAGAAAACACAATACATCTCAAGGAATGTGTGTTTGAGAGCCTTCTGGCAGTGATTGGGGGAGAGACGAGAGCCTAACTAACAGTACTGACGGTATTACTGGTGATAATCATCCGGGAATAGCGATGCAAAGCAATCACAAGTCCTTTTGTTTGCAAAGCATCTCTCGAGCGCAAGGATTTATGCCGTGGTCTCCATATTTCAAATCCAAGCCAAACATCCAAAACATCTCAACATTATTTGTATTTTTTGCTCAAATTCTCTATTCTCTTCACTCCATTCCTCTGTCGTCTCTCTGATAAGGCAATTGAAAATTATTGTCTCTTATTGTCTCTCCTCTCAGTTAATCTCTTCCTATTAAGGCTCAGCACAAGTGAGAGACAAGTCTTCGTTGGGAAAGAAGAGATCAAATGACAAAAAAGTAGACATTCTTCGCACTTCTTTACACTGTTTTGAATTGAGTCACAACTTTATATAAAACGGATCACTTGTAGCTTAAAATTGAGTTATAAATGAATTGCCGTTAATTACAATTTTCTATACAACCGTAGTGTAAGAATGTCTCTTAAAAGTCGATCAATGTTTTCGTAGGTATGTGCTGTAAAAACTGTACAGTATTGTATTTAATGGATAAAAATACTTTTATGACATGAATTATATTGTATTTTATTTTTAAATAAATATGTTTTGTGTTAGTTTTAAAGAGGAAATAAATGGGAAAAAGAAAATACATTT